GAGAATCTTTGTTAACACAGTTGATACTTATTATGAAGGCTTTCTCACAAATGAGTATTGCACCAAATGATAAAAACTTTCTGAAATTTTTCTGGTGGTCTCATTATATGAGAAAAGAAATGGAAATGTATAGGCGTTGTCGGGTGGTTTTCTAGCTGACACTATAAATTATCATTTATCACATGCCCCAGAAAAATTTCGAAAGGCTAGGCTCTGGAATTCATTGTCTGAGGAAGTATTCCCAACAACATATAATCTCCAGAAGTTCAGAAAAATTCCAATACCTACCTCCTGTCTTTATCCTCCCTAGGAAAGCACGATGTTCTTTGAACATTATAGGGATTTCCTTTCGTGCGCTCCAAGCGATAAAAAATCATAGATGAAGAAACCCTAACTCATCTCTACAACATTTATTTGACAATCAGAGATCGATCACATAGAGATACATGTTTCGGGCTTATATCAGCCCATCATCAGCCGAATACAAGAATGGAGTTCAAGAAACACCAACAATGACATATTATTAGGATACAATGAATACTAACATGAAAATGAAAAAGTCAAGGACCATTTATTTTGCAACTCTTGTTTAAACTGTCACATATTTGTCATTGTTTGTATCATTTCAGAGATATATTTTTAAGTATTCACCTTGTTTTTCCACTGGTTCACTGTGAATTCATCAACCAAATCACTATTCCCATAAGACGGTATACAGTGAACCAATTGACATGTTTTTTTGAAAAAATTGTTATAATTCACTCTGTTGATTGAAACGATAACTGTGGCTGGGCTTCTATTGCCAACAATTATTTTGGATGGAAACTATATCATTGACGATCATTATAAAAATCCGGAAGAAATAACCATCACCAGGTTAAAATCAATGGCCTGTCTCAAAGGACTAAGATTATGTGAAAGTATCAAGAAAGTCAAAGAATTCCGTGATCTACGTTCTACCTTTAGGAGTGATTCTTCAGTGGCGTTAACGTGGTTCAAATCAAAAGGCAACTGGAAATCTTGGTTAAGAATAGAGTCGAAGATGTTTAACAAATTCACTACCACACAACAATGGAATCACGTACCAGGAAATCTAAACCCAGCTCATATTGCTTCTAGGCATTATATTGGTTAAGCTATGATGGAAAACAAATGGTGAGAAGGTCCACAATGTTTGAAATCAGAAGAGAAGGATTCGTCACATTCTACATTTGGAATACCTTCTGGAGTGGAGAATGAAAAAAGACAAGTATCAGTTTCTGACGTAGCATGTGAAGGATGAGGAGTTTTCTATAAATCCCAATTATTTTTGCAAGTACACAAAAATGATTAGGATGGTTGCATAGATGTTGAGATTTCAAGATCAATTAGTGGGGGAGGATATGACAAAAACTATTGGACTGACTCATGATGAAATAACGGAAGCAAAAATCAGACTTCTCAGAATTATAAAGATATTCCAGGATGACCATGGAATTATGAGGGTTGAAACGCAAATATTTTCACCATTCAGACTTTCAAGGACGAGTGATTTCATCAATCGTTTCCTTTTCTTAATAATAGTCTCCTCCTTGTACAATTACTAAAGAAGGAGAATAATCATTTTTGGATGTATGATAAATTGATATTCATCATACAGGACGTGGAATGAAATTCTGAATTGAGAAAACCTACATTCATTATTCCAAATTTTTTGGGATTTTCTCTCCTCGTTTCTATAAAATAAAAATATAAATATCATCTCAATATACGTGTAGTAAGGACAAATCAGATGGTTTGCCCAAAAATATCACTGCGTTTAAAGAATTTAACATCGATAAATCGAAACTAGCTGAACATATCCTTACTGAAGACGAACAACATATGGCAGAGTTTTTTTTTATCGCTTGGAAAATCAAGGAATCTGCTTGCATTCTTCTGAACGGAGACAAGCATTGCTCCTTGTTCAGTTGATATAGACAGAATATGGTTTTCACTACTAAAATCTGAACATGAAAATGGTAAATTCAAGATTAATTGATGAAAACATCCTGTAACTCATTAGATTGACAATGTCACCAATTGTCATTGGAAACTGAAAAGCTTCAAGACATATTATACGACTTCGCTATTGAAATAATCTCTTCTCATGTTGAAAACGGAAGCTGAATCAGTCCCGAAACGTCCAAAGATAAGTAAAAATTTGATATTTTTTCTATATACCTTTATTTCTCTTGTCCAAACTTTTTTCAATACCAATTGTCACTGACAAGCTAGTGAATGGTTCTTTCAGGCTCTCTGATAGGAAAATTCTTTTAACGCAGTGACATTTTGGGGCAAATCATCTGATTTGTCCTTACTACACGTATATTGAAATACCATTTATATTTTTATTTTATAGAAACGAGGAGAGAAAATCCCAAAAAATTTGAAATAATGAATGTACCACCTCCTCGATTAACCTACACACAGTATTTGAGAAAACCTAATCACGAATCTGCGATTGAGTCCTTTAAAAATAACAAAGTCCCATCGTTCAAGTTTGAGCCCCTTCTTGAGTGGGTAACAATATTGAAAAGGAATATCTCAGATATTTCTATGAACACAAAAAAATGGATATAAATAAAGGAATACCTTGAGAATTCGCATTCTCCATTAATATTTTCATCACATGGAGAATGAGAATTCTCAATGTATTCCTTTATATACATCCATTTTTTTATTCATAAATATATCTGAGAATATTTCTCTTCAAGAATAATTATTGTTGTTACCTCGTCATCGAATCGATCAAATTAGGCGGCCCCAAGGCAGAAGGCAGCGGCAATGGCCATAACCTTACACAATATCTACTCAATCTCATTGGAAATTCCTTACTTTCTTCCAACCTTCACCTCTCACACATCGTGTTGAATGAGATTAGTTTGGAAACAAGGCCTCGGGCAAGGTTGATCAAACGAGAAATAAATTATGTCTCTTCTTCGTTTCACAATTTATGGTTTCACCGCATTAAAGATATTTAGAATATGCGTATCGTTAACAATCATATAACGATGATGATGTGTCTTATACATAATTTGAAGGTCAGATTAAGATAAGATTCTGAAGAAGTTCAATAAAGGCTACCAGTATTGGCTATACTGATATGGAATGACCAATATTCCGTTAGCTCCTTCCTACATTAGGTATCTACTTTGAGAAGCGAAAGCTGGAAAAACGTGAAAAAGCAAGTATTATACCAAACTATTTCTTCACTGGAATACTATGTGAACAAAAGTGAAACTTGAAATCATGATGCGCCCATTTGTCTAACGGTGGCGATGTTGCCAAATGCCATTTTACCTAATACTCCTATATGTAACTATTCGATAAACAATCTTTATATCCTATACTGGATTATACCTTCCCATCTGAGTTATCGATTTGCAGTATCCTCGATTGTTGGTCTGCTCCATACCGAATTAATGTATGTAGCATGGATGGTTACTTCCTTCCTTTGCATGGTATTATGAATCCTTAAGTTTTCTTGTATTATCTTCATTATTATTGATCCTAGGATCACGAAATTTGGTACCTGAGAGTGATTCAATTTTACAAATCATTTCGTGGTACCAAAAACATGATTTAGTATACCAGGGAGATGCAGAGCTTGTAACCGTTGCTATGAAAATACCCTTAGTTTTTTTGTTTCATGTTGCATCTCATGTCTACTATCATAATATGATATTTTGTCGACCTCTTCAGAAATTCACATTTTACGTTCTAATTTTCAAATGAAAAACCGACTATTGCCGAAAACAAGTACTTTTCGTCCGCAGACACTAACTTCTTGTCTGCGAACACTTTTCGTCTGCTGCCAGGGTTGTCAGATCTACTGAATTTTCAGTATATCTCTAAAAGGGGAAGTCCTATTCCCATACTAGATAGAACAAAACTGATGATGGTACCTGTTGATCAATTCACATGAAAAACTCGATAGTGAAAACTGCATATCAATATCTATCTTCGTTTCAGAGTTATAAGGTGTTTTTCGAAAATATGAATTTTCCAAAAGTGGCTAAAACTAATTTTTTCGTCAAAAATTCTTGTTTCCATGAAACCCATCTCCTAAGCATTGTGTTTGTCATGGAAATTGTCCCTCGGTCACTGAAACCAGTCACCATATAGGTACCTAGTTTCGAAATAGAACTTTCCCTTCAAGAAGAACAAGTTATATTCTTGAATAAGGTATAGAAAGGCTGATATTTCAGTGCCTCAGGGATGATTTTCATCACAAAAAAATATTTGTAGCCAATTTTCAAAATTGCCCATTTTCGAAGATCACCTGGTAACTCTGAAACGAAGACAGATATTGATATGCGGTTTTCACCATTGAGTTTTGCATGAGAATCGACCCTCAGGCACCAAAATCAGTTTTTTTCTATCTAGTTGGAGAATAAGACTTTTCCTTCAAAAGTGACCCATTTGACCGTACACAATCAGCGTCCAATGGATATCAAAGAAAATATGCTATGGTTTTATTCATTAGTATGTAATTGTTCTCTTTCTGATGAAGTTTTGAGCATGAACTTATATGGGAATACTGAACCTTATAGAAAAATAGTCGAGTTCATTGTAAATAATCAAGGGTATGATTCGAACTATCATTCAATTAAGCACTCGTGGAGTAACTTCCTCCTCTGTGCGCAATATGCAATCAACATATCTTGTTATGTAATTCAAAATTGATTTGTTTAACAAAAATTGTTCATAGAAAGATTATCCGAAACAAACTGGTAGAATTTCATTTCAAAATGAGAGTAATCGAATGTAAGATTCACGTTTCGAACTCGAACACTAGCGATATATCTTTTTCGTTTTCAGAATCAAGGTCGAATTTCCTGCTCATAAACTTTGTATGCTATGAACGATGGGTGAGTTGGGTGTCAGTTGAGTTTATAGAGATCTTATACGCGTTCGATAGCAAATTATGATGATGGAACATAGTTAAACATTCATACTATTCATGCAAAATGTCATCGTCACTTACGATCAGAATCTAAAAGTCCGGTATGACTCTTTCCGGTCTCCGAAGGTGCTTCGAGCGTTCCTATCGCATGTAACCCGCTTTGACCGGCTTTCGCAACCCTTCCCCTGAAACAGCATCCTCTGAGCAGACCATCGCAGGATTGGTCGAGCAGCCCTCCGGACAGCCAACAGGACAGGAAGAATTCGCATGTGGCTCCGGGGGCGCAGACCTCTTGGTACCCTGACAGAACCGAGAAAAATCTTATTGTGAGCGATGTGGCCTAAAAACAAATCTCAACGAGCTGATGCAATATCGAAATAGTTTCAGAAATCACAGCAATGAGAATGTTTTCGGAAATGGGTGAATGAAGTCACTATGAAACATGGCATCAATTTTGTGAATAGAAACATACTTATTGAATAGAATGATTAAAAAGGCGAAATCAGATTTCTACATTGAACAAATTGAGAATAGTAATGAAAGTTCGAAACAACTATGGAATGTAGTGAAGCAAATTCAAGGCAGCGAAATGGAAAAAGAAGTCAAAATAATTGTAAGTGACGATAAGGATACACTCAGCAAGAATGAAGATATTGAGGGAGAAATCAATGATTTTTTCTCGAATGTAGGTCCAAACCTTGCAGAAAAAATTAAAGAACCACCTGGTATATTACTAACAGAAAACCATCTCTTAATTTTTTTATATCGTCGGTGAACGAGAAAGAAATTCTGGACACTATTAAAAACTTGAAAAACAAAAAAGCACCAGGCATAGATGGTATAAAAACGGAAACCATAAATTCATTTTATCAGTCCTACTTGCTCCTATACTTGTCCATTTAATCATTAATTCCTTCCGACAAGGAAAGTTTTCATCTGCTTTCAAAAATGCGGTTGTTATTCCTATATTCAAAAAAATTGAAGAGAAAAAAGTAACAAACTACCGTCCTATTTCACTGATCTCCAAGTTCTCCAAAATACTTGAAAAATCCATTAAATCAAGATGACCAGAGTTTTTCAATAAGCATAAAATACTATCTGATCGTCAGTTTGAGTTTCGAGAAATTCTGTCAACAAATATTGCAATCTCAACACTGATGAAATATATATATATGAATCAGTTGATGAATCCAAACCATCCTTATGTGTCTTCCTGGATCATGCCAAGGCGTTTGACACTGTGTGTCACTCACAGCTGTTAAACGCCCTGGAGGAGATCGGAGTAAGAGGCATAACATTAAATTATTTAGAAAGTTACTTGAAGGATAGAACACGACTATTGAAAACAACAACTGCTGTAGTTTTTGAAGGCACATCAGCTATGGGGTTTCACAGGGTACTGTATTAGGTCTTATACTTTTGGATATATGAATAATCTCCTCTTCTTGAACACTGATGAAAAAATCATGAGCTTTGCTCATGATACGGCCAAATCTCAAAGTTACAGCTGAACAGGACCTCAAAAATATATTTAACTGGTTCAGACATAAAAAACTAACAATCAAGTAAGCGTTCCCATTTATGTATGATGTATGGCCACAAGGATTTTCAATATTTTTCCGGAGATTCACACATCCTCATGATTAACTCCTTTAATTTTTTCAAGAAAATTCTCAAACATTTCTTGCATTCGATAGAAAGAAAAAGCATTCATGATCTCATCGAACAATAGAACAAATATTTTCTTGCATTCTGCCGCGGAAATATCGGAGATCATCAGCTTCGGAACCCTGGTTCAACGAGAACTGTTCTGGAGTTGTTGCCTTCAAACAAACAGCCTATAATCGCAGGCGCGAGGATCCTAAACTCGTGACTAGAGGAGAATATGTTGAAGCAAGGAATAACTGAATCCAGGCAAGAGCTGCTACAAAACAACTATACAATGTCGAAATAAGATCAAAACTCATAGATTGTCCCAATAGCTGCCGTTCGTTTCGATCCCTCGTTGAAGCAGTCGGAAATAATTTGAGTAATTGTTCATTCCCACCACTCTCTGAAGCCGACGGAACAGCATCGCGAGGGGAAGCGAACATTTTTGCAGATATCTTCGTAGCAAACTCCACCTTGGATTCGCAGTGCCACGAGACATTCCACCCTTTGAAAGTCGAATGCCCGAAATTGTCTCCCGTCAGAAATCCAAAGCAAATGTAAAATCTCCACAAATGGTCTCAATGAGATTCCACCCATTATCCTCGAGAAAAGTGCACTAGAGTTGACAGCGATTCTCTGCAAGCTATCTACCATCTCCTACAAGTTCGGTAGTTTTCCATTCTGCTGGAAAATAGCTAGAGGCCAACTGATCCCCAAAGAACTATATGCGAATTGCCCTGTTATCAGTCATCTCCAAAGTTATGGAGAAAGCCATCAACTTTGAGTTCAACAAATATTTGGAAAAGAATCTCTTGCTGTGGCGTTAGATATATCAATTTCATTCGACCGTGTTTGGCACCAAGGGCTGCTCCACAAGGATCCATTTTGGCACCAACATTGTTGCTACTTCATTTCAAAGATTTGTTGGGAGCAACCACTTGCCTCATCCATATCTTTGCAGATGATAGTACTCCCAATATACTGCGTTATCTTCTAGAATTCCCATTTCTTCTCAGGAAACTGGGAACTTAGGACGAAGGCAGGCCAACGCTGTCAATGAAGATCTTGCGGAAATTACAGCCAGGAAACCAATAACCTAGTTGCAATCAACATCACCAAAACTCCAGCCTGTATTATTTCAAGGAAGGCGAAACTCAGTATGCCTGATATAACAATGTCTGATACCACCATTCTCACCAAGACCTCTATAACTATGCCCGGTATAACCATCGTCAATACTATCTCATGGAAAAATTTTGACCAATCCATAACAAAAGCTGCTCCACAAAAACTCGAATACTTGTTGTCTGAAAAAATCTATTTCACGCCCCATCAGCTTCTCATGATCTACAAAGCACTGATACAACCAGTTCAAGAAAACTGTTTGCATGTATGGGATTCAGCACCCAAACATACGCTGATGATATTAGATATCATCCAGAAAAGAGCAATTCGCCTAGTGGGGTGATGACACTCACCAACTCATTAGAACACCGTAGAAAAGTCCACGACATGTCTCTTTTTTAAAGATACTTCCAAGGAAAATGTTCCTCAGAAATCTCTGCTTTAATGCCATCAATAGCAATATCAGTCAGACGAACTCGACACACTCAGTGAGCACATCACCTTGTCGTTAACCTTGAATGGCAAAGCTTTGGAATTCTTCGCCAATGGAAGTATTTCCAAGATCTCATAGCCTCCAAAAAGTCAAAAAATACCTACCGCTTCTCCTTATCCTCATTGAAGTTACTTTGAAGTTACTTTGCTTCAACTGTGAGTGATTTCTTCATGAAGTAGCTCTGCTACCACAAAAAAGACGTTGGCAGTGATCTCTTCTGCAGTACTGAAAAAAAAACTTGTCATTTCCATGAATCGTCTCATCTAATCCAAGCAAAGGAAGTTGGAATTTCTGAATTGAGTATGGATTACATACTAGACTGAATTCCAGATCATATGGGGTGAAGGTAATCAAAAGACATAATGTTTCATCAGGAATGAACCTGTTGAACTACAAAAAAGTACAGAATAATTAAGGAGGTGATTCCTTGTCATATTTCAGATACAGGCTATTCCACGACGATAAAGACAATGAATATGGAAGTGTCGAGAGTAGTAAGATAATTGTAATTTTGAAGTTGCAACTTCAGCTTTTTTCTATTATGTTACCAAATGAGCCTTCCGTTTCCGGTCACTTGACACCAGATTCAAAATTAACAATGAGAAAACTGGTATATTCTGGCATTTCCTTGGGCATTTCTTTGTTAGTCTGACATAGAAGAAAATTAAACTTCAGAACCCTGTTCATCGAATGAGATTACTCCCACCCCGATACGATCCCAAAAGCTTGAATAACATACATTTGAAGGAAAGAAGTTATGCTGCCGAACACTGTATACCTGAGCCGGTTGATTGACTCTGTGAGATATATTCCAAACTAGTACGAGAAAGTTAGATTTTCGAAATCGAAATACGTGCGGAACATTGGATGATCATAAAAAACATCATCTCATCATAATGACACACTGGTAAATTTGACCCATCCATGCAAAGTTATGGCAGTTTCATGGTACCACGATTTCCCGTTGGCTCTTCGAGTCAATGCCCTACTGTCGTTCTTATGTATTGGGCAATTTGTTTAGTTGTTGAATAACTTGAATTGAGAGACCCAAACGGGATTTGGTGTTGCAACGTCAATGAATAACGGTTAAACTTACAAAATCATACATGTTACAAAGGAGCTGAATATGCATGTGTATGTTCTTTGTTTTGTGTGTTAGATATTCAGTCGGAGAATTCTTGTTTGGAATATTTTCAGCATCAGAAAATTGAATTTCCAGAATATGTTTCATTAAACGAGATAACCCTGAACTTCCAATATTCATACATAATAGATTTGAAGTATTTTGTAATCGTTCGTATTCATGAACGGTATAATTCAGGTGTTGTGTTATATGCAACTTCAATCATAAAACGAATCAGATGAATATAACATCCTGAAAAAAAAACTTTTATTTCCAACAGGTTTCACACCCAATAACAGGAAATGCTACAAATAAATATCAGCTTCCGATTATCAATCACACTTTTACAGAGTAATATGAATAACATGAGACAATGACAAGGATTATATCTAAGAAATGCAGGATACTAACCATAACAGAAAAATGACCAGAACAAGATGTATTACTATAACTAGTGCATATAATCTTACAATTTATTAATCACATCTCTCAATGAGTCGTGATTTATATCACATATATATGGGAGATTTTGTTGAAGTTATCACACATAATATGAATTGGGGATTTCAGCATGATTCTTGTTCTAGTAGCAACATTGTAAAACATGTTTGATTGTCTACTGTTCAATCTTGGAATGAGAAAGTTTATTTGATTCAGAAGTACGGAGCAATCGATTTGGTTATGCATTAATTTGTAACGGAATGTCACACTCGAAATTATTCGAAGTTTTTCTAGAGAAATCATTCCGAAATTATACACCTTCATCCACAAATATTTAAAAAAATTTCTTTCAATACTTCCAATTCGGTTAGAATGATATTGTGTTGTTGGATATCATATTAGTATATCATATTCAAGTTAAGATTTTATATACGAGTAAAAAAGAAGTTTAAGTGCAAATATATTTTT